TTTTTTTGAAGTAGAGCAGAGATGCTAGTAGAGGGGCAGGTTATTTCATGTCGTTTGGCATCAGTGCTCAAAAACATTTCTGTGCAAGTTTAATGTACTAGTATGGGTGTAATTTCAAGATGTAGTTTAACAGGAGGCGGTGAGCCACTGCTGTAGAGAAAACATCCTCTTCCTCCCATTTGTTTCTGTTCCTGGCCACGTGATTTCACTACTCATCATACCCCTTCATGAGAAAAATAGATGTGACAAAAAATGAAACCAATTAAAAAATACAGATAAACTTCTACTATGTTTTTAAATGCAAGTGGCTCCTGGGAGGACCTAACAGTCAAGGGAGGGGATACGAGGGAGCATCCAGTATGGTGAAGCTGGGAACAAGGAAGGGAGAGGACAAACCTGCATAGGGAGAAAGAAGAGCAAGAGAGGAGGGAGATGGGGAGAAGACCTTCCCTTTTGGTGACCAGGAGCCATTGGATGAACTCAGCTGTCTGTACCATTTTGAAAAATATGTTTAATGAAAGCTTGGATTCACAAGCACATTTTCATTAGAAAGGTAGAGTTGTTTACTTATTTAGATTTTGGACTAATGTAAGGATTCAAGTAGATTTTCAGCTTCATTTATTTCTATTTTAATGGAGTGAAGCTGTCATGACACTTAAGCTAGAATTTTATTACAGAATTCATTTTGATAATAGCAAAAGAGATAAATGCAATGCTATATACTAATTTCATGGTTTGCCGCATATTTTATGTTATCCCAGAAACATTAAGTGATACATAGTCGAACTTAATTCTGTTGTAAGAGCACATTGATAACACGTCTTCCCTCTGACTTTCAAGAGATGACTTGTAGGGTGGTGGCAGAGCTCAGCTGAAGTTAGTGGTGCCTCAGGCAGAGAAGAGGGTCTGCCTAATTAGATCTGTCTGAAATAACTGGTGTCTTCTAGAAGTGCATAGAAGAAGGTGGCTAAAGGAACATTAACAAAAGCAATAAACTGAAAAGATGTGTATACACCCTTCAGAAGGGAAATAGTTAAGATAGCTTGAAGGTTCAGTGAGGAATAGCTTGTGCTATACTAGCACACTTGTTACCTAAGTTGCTGTACAGAGATGAAGCAGGATGCATGGGAGTCAGTGTAACTGTGGGTTTGCCATTTCTAAACTCATGAAGCATGAAGGAGTGTGCTCCTTATGGATCCTCCTCAGAATCTGGGCTTGGGTGAAGGATTTGGGGAACTTGCTGTGACCTCAGTCTGAGTTTTGCCTGGCATGTGTCACACAAATTTGGTATAAAGTTTGTGTCCCCCCTAATATGACTTTAGCCTCCCAGTGCATGTTTGGAAGTCTCCAAATTTGAATCTGAAAAAAGCCTTTTCTCTGCATTCTAAAATGCAGTTTTGAAATATGTAATTATGAAGAAGTGTTCTTATTTTTGTAACTGAAAATGCTCTTTTTCTCTGTGTGTATAGTTGTATATATTATTTACTATGGGCTTTTTCAAGTTGGAATTTCATGTTGTGTTAGTACAGGAATACTGTTCCTACTCATTGTGGATCACATTCAGCAGTACCTGTAAGAGTAAGTTTGAGGAATATTTTTTCTGTGAATGAAATACACTGTATTCCACATGAAGGCAAGCATGGGATCCTTCTAGCATGTTTTCACGCAGCCTGTAAAGTTTCCATGTGAATCTGTGTGGGAACTGCTGACCCACCTCTGCTGAGTCCTGTATGTGCCACTTTGTTTTTGTTATGTAGCAGTAAAGCCCAGAAGCCTTTGCTATGCTGTGAAAATGCACATTTTTCCAGAGCCATGCATACGAACCCTTTGAATGAGGAGCACCCCTTTACTGGTTCTCTTTAATAGCTTCATGCGCGGATATGCATTGACCTATGCAAGGATGCAATAAACCAGAAACAAACCCGACAACAAAAACCAGACTCTGGATGTCTTGAATGACGTACTGCATCAGAACTCACCATCCTGAAAAGAGTAAACAGAAACTATTTTTGAAGTGACAGGCCAGAGTAAAATTGTCTAACACTCTTCATTTTACTGATGCATTGCGTGGAGGTCCAGAAGCCACATTAGAGAACTGTAATCCTTCATCAGAGCATTTGTTTGGTTGCCTAACATCTGTGGATTGTTAAGATAAGTTATTACACAGACCTGCTTTAGTTTAGATTAGTTTGGACCACATCCCAGTGTATTCAATCAGGATATAATTCCTGCATGCTGCTAAATTGCTTGCTCCACATACTTCTCTAAAAATGTTTTTCAATATACAGTTTTGTCACTAAAACTGTTCTGTCACCTCAAGTTTTGGGGTTTTTTTCCTCTTAAAGAAAAGCTTTTATTGTTTTTTCTTTTGGACTGAATATATCTCAAGGCAAACGTAGCATTTATCAGGTTCTGAAGAGATTCCTAAACAGGGATGGTAGTGTAGCTTCTATGTGAGTATAATGCAGATTTCCTACATGTGTAATCTGTGGTGATTGGTATGTATTGTGTCCAAACTGCAGCGTTTAAAGACAGCTGTAAGAAAATGGTTTTGTATTTACATGTCTAGTATTTCTTCTTTCTGTATTCTGTTTTTTTCTGTGTCTATTTGTGCATTAGCTATTCCTATTTGTTTGGATCTCATATTTTGCATAAAATGAATTACAATATCAAAGGTGATTATGTAAATTAATGGTAATTTCTTGAAGTTTATTACATACTTTATACATATTTTAAATGATCAAATACATTAAATTGTAAATGAAGTGCTACCATCTTTACACGTTTAAGTGTTCTTGCATATACACACATATGTAATTTAATTAGAATATTTAAATTTTACTTTAATATTCCTTATCCTTCCTTTAAACAAACTCTAGTTGATTTATTTTTTTATTAACACTTTTTTCAACTTTCCCTGTAAACTGTTAAAATACAGGCAACGACCGATTTTTCATTAATGACTGATTTATAGCATTGACACAGATTTTATACACAGACACGTGTGCATGCACACTCTTGCTGTCTAATGAGCTAACAATTGTGTCAGAGTCTATAAAGACATTTAAAAATGTGGGGTTTTTTTCCTTTTAGTCTTGCTGGTTTTTTAAATACCTGTAATAATAATACCACATAGACTAAAAATCTATTCTATTAGAACAGATAGTCTGATAAACTGAATCTCTGTTTTGTGAGGTGTACTAGATGAAGGAAATAAGACATTTTGGAATCAAGGGACTTTTTGTTAAAGGTCTAGCCATTTTTTTTGTCAAAGTTGCTGTTCCTATTATTCTACTGAGGGTTATCTGTTTTTATCATAATACGTGTTTGTGCCACTGTTGGAATAACTGTAGCTTTTGATTAAGTTTTTTTTTAATTAATTAAAATTTTAATAGGTATTTTATTATCCTTCTTAAATAGAAGAAATATAACAGTCATCTTTTGATAAAGGCGCAATCCAGATACAGGGAAAAGAGTTGGATGTCTTCTCAGTGTGGTTTGGACAAACAGTGCAGAAGTGGTACTGGAAGTTCTGATGTAGTCTTCAGACCTAAACAGGTCTTATGTTTTAAATAAATCTTAATTATGTTAAATATGTAAAATGCCTAAAATTTTCATCATGCCATGTAAGCCATGCACTTCCTCCCCAGGCCAGAGAATAACAGTTCAGTACCAGAGCTTTATCCTGTTGCAATTTCTTCCCTGAAGTGATTGTTTTTTCTGTTCCTTTTAATTTTAAGCATTGTATAATTTTGCAACTGTTGCATCATTCCTGTGTTTACACAAAATAATTTAAGCATATTTTTTATTCCAACTTTTGTTATCCTTCTTATCCTCTTTACAATTTTACCCGTTCTTTTACTTCTTTCCACATTAAACAAAAAGATTTTCTTTACAATTTTCCTTATTAGTTGTCAGCTTTGTTTCCTCTCATCTCTATTTTTATTTCTGACAAAATTCTTACCTCTTGTATATTCTTCATGCATTTTGCCATTTTTGTTCTTCTGCCTCAAAACTCCTTTTGTCTTTCTCTCAATTTTTTCTTAAATATTCACACACTTTAGAGTCCTGATTAACCTTTTATTTTTCTCTGGTGATTTACTCCTGTACATAAGACTGTCTTATACTGTATATAGACTTGAAACATAGAGTCTCGCTTTACTGTGTGTGCTCCTGTTTATCTGTGTAACTGGAATTAAAAAAAAAAATTAAAAATGCGAAGAAGCACTGTTTATGTACACAGCTTAATTGTGATTGCCAGGGACATGTTTACTTTAGTTATTTATTATTTACAGCTATAACTCAAAGAGATGGTAAATGATCATTTCCAAGTAGTACAAAATACGGTACTTTTGCATTCTTTTCATTGGTGCATTTAGTTCTCTATTAGTACGTTTCTTTAGGTCTTACCTCACGTCTCTGGTAAGTAGTTGTTGTGGATGTAGCTAAAACCATGCACAGTAAATGCTGAATTTATTTTCAGGATAATGTTGAGTTATGTTACGTGAGAAAAATTAACTTAAGGGAAATACCGTGTCAGTTTTCTGTGGCGGCGGAGGCTGGGAGTTAGCTGGGCAGGACTCCGCCACCCGAGGTACAAGTCCCGTTTACAGTCTGGTAGGCTTGTCCTGACAGCGATCCACACCAATGAAAACAACCCAACCCACCCCACCAACTGCATCAACACCAGCAACAAGCGTTGGTCATATTGTCGGTGTTTATTCAGAAGAGAGCTAGGGCTGGGCGGAGGGGGGATTGCTACAGGTAGGACTGATGTATATTGATAGCACATTTTGGAGAAGCTCGCATAGCATGTGCCTGTAGGATGCTTGGCTCTAGCCAGTGCAGTCAGTGCTTGGAGAAGCATGTTCTGGGTACTGTCCTGAGCACCAACCTCACCAGTTTAGAGGAGAGCGAGAGATCGTACCTGCTCTGTGATAGTAAGCATGCATTTCAGGGTCTAAGGGGTAGCTGCACTGACTCTTCTTGTCTTCAACTAGGTTATGTGGGTATGCAATTTATGTCGAAAGCAACAAGAAATCCTAACGAAATCCGGAGCGTGGTTTTTTGGAAGTGGACCACAGCCCTCACCCAGCCAGGATGGAGCACTGAGTGATACGGCGACTGGTGGCAGCTCAGATGCACCGAGAGAAAAGAAAGCAAGGCTTCAAGAGCGATCGAGATCACAGACTCCCTTAAGTACAGCAACTGCCTCATCACAGGAAATCTCTTCTTCCAGTGTGCAGTCCGACCGGAGGAAAGGAGCAGAAGTATCGCAGCTGGCTATGGGCCTGGACCAAAAACAAGTTTCATCAAGGTCTAGAAGTGAACCTCCAAGAGAGAGGTAATGCTTTCTGTCTCGATAGAGCCTCACAATTATAAATGCTGGTTCAGTACACAAGGCTGTCAGCTGGGCCTTTGTGTGTTTCTAGAACTGTGTAAAAACAAAGAGTAAGTTGATTTACTGACCAGGGAAGGGTAAGTGTTCACTAGCAAATACATTGTCTGATTTGGTCTGTGCAAAAGAAATGAGGAAAAAAAAATACTAATTATATTTTAGGGATATTTCCATGTACATCAATGCATTTTGGTGTACATTTTAATATAGAATGGTAGGTTACTTTTAAATTTTAAATTTGGCAGGTACTTTAAAGTTATTAAACAAAGAACAAGCCTTTAACTTGATGAAATCATGTACTAGAATTTAAAAAAATAACACCCCCCCAAAACCCCCCCAAACAAACAAAAAACCCACCCTGTGGAGTTCTGTCAGGTATCCTTATGTGTTATCTTTCTATCAATGATTGTATTATTTTTAATAATAAAATAAGAACTATTAAAAGAGCTCATTTACACCTGCAAAGTAAACATTCATGAAGAACAGCAATAGTACCATCTTGAATTCAGAGCAAGCTGCATTTATGAATAAAGCCAACCGGAAGCAAACTATTATATTTTAAGTGAGTAAATGAGTAAATTCCTGAGGTGCATTCACTGTGATGAATGGGTTGAAGAGTAGCAAATCAAGAGAGGCTAATGTGATGAAGCAGTTGCTATTCTTTTGGCTGCTGCCTGGCAGATGGCAGAGCAGTTGAGGAGGGAGCCTGTGGCAACAAAACAAGAGTCTGGCACAGAAGATTCTCCCTTGGCCAGAATGGTTGATGATTTTTTTTTCATAGCTATTGAAGTTGAAAATGGATGATGAACATTGGCTAGTAACTTACTGTGTGGGTGAGGTCTGTCTGGGTTTAACTGTACCAAAACTCGGGTTAGTGTTATGTATATGTATGACGTAAACGAACACATGGTGCCGTCCCCTAATTCTGTTGACTGTTTTTCCCCCAGCACTGGGAAGGCCCCCAGAGCAGTCATCACTCAGCTGAAGGACACTTTTAAGGCAGCAAAATGCTTTCTATTTCTGCTTTGCTGTCCAAAAGTGAGATGGTTATATTAATTATACAATAGTAATGTTCTCTAGTTGTCATTGAGACTTTCAATTGAAGTTAAGGGTTCTGAATGGAGAGCATCTATGGTAAGCTCAGGTCCCATTTATTTCCAAAAACTCAGGAGGAACAGGAGATGGACAAAAAGGAGCCAGAAACTTAACTTGCGTCATATCCAACTTTCCCTGTCCTGTCGGATGCATCTGTGAAAATCTGTCATATGTAATCTGAAGATGTATCAGTTGTGGAAGGGAAGATTCAGTGCCATAAAACAAAGTCCTAGAGACTTTGTCCTGGTGCAGGTTCATCTCAAATACAGTGTATAACTCTGTTCAGCCTTCTTCAAAATCGATGGATTCATATGTGAACTGTTAAACAAAAGGGCAACTGGAATAATGAGAGAAATAAAAATATCCAGTATAAGGGGATTTTATGATTCTTTGGCTTGCTTATTCTCCCAAAGCAGAAGATGAAAGAGGAGAGAGCATAATTTTCATGCAGCTTCATTCATTGTTTTGTACTTTGGCTGTATAGAGAAATAAATTACATTTTTTATCCTCTTTTATTACCAGAGAAAGGAATGCCATTAATTTATCTCAAGGAGTGAATTTGCTTTTTTTAATATGCTTATGAAATGGGCACTTCTTTTTAGAGTTTTAATAAGATAAAGCAAACTAGGTCAAATATTATTGTTTCTGGATATATTCTCTTTTGCATTTTTTAATATCCATATTACTTCTTTCTGTAATACCATTGTGGGAAATACTCCATTTGGTGGTGTTTATATTTATACTGTCAGGGTGCTTGAAGTGAATTGTATATATGTGGTTAGTTTGTAACCCTCATGACTGCTGCCAGAAAAATGGAGAACATACACCAATACTCTGTCATAGTGCTGCAGTTACTACAAAGATGACTTTGAGTCTTCCTGCTTACGTGGGTAAATTATTTTTATCTGCATTTATCCATGTTAATAGTCTTTGTGATTTTACTCTAGTAATCGGACCTTCCATAATTTATGTTTTTGTGGACTCTGGAAGTTGTTTGCTATTGGAAAATAAAAGTCCAATGGACTTTTTGTTGTCCAATGGACAATAAAAATCCGCTGGAAGGATTAATAGATTTAATTCATGTTAATGGATCCAGTACCTTTCTATATGTTTTGCCATAGCTTATCCTGGTTTATAATCTATTATTGACCATAACAGTGTACACAAATATTTTTATTTTGCATTCAATTCTTCAAATTATTGTACTCCTTTTCATTGTAGGAAGAAGACACTATCAGTTTCAGACCAGAATGGCAAAGGTTTAAAGAGTGAGCGTAAGCGTGTGCCAAAATCCTCACTTCAAAAAGAAGGACCAGCAGATGACAGGGAGCGTAAAGAACGGCATGAAGGTAGAAGGCTGGAGAAAGGCAAGTCACAGGACTACCCAGACTTGCCAGAGAAACTTGAGGAAGGCAAAGTGCCTGATGATGAAAAACAAAGGAAGGAAGATGAATATCATACCCGTTACAGGAGTGACCCCAATCTGGCAAGATATCCTGTAAAACCACATCCTGAGGAACAGCAGATGCGCATGCATGCGAAAGTTTCTAAAGCACGGCACGAGAGAAGACACAGTGATGTAGCTTTGCCACATACAGAAATGGAGGAAGCGGAGGTACCTGAGAATAAATTAGGAAAACGCTCACAATTACAGGGAGCTCAGGACAGAAAATCCCTTGTGGAAACTCAGAGGTCGTACTCTATAGACAGAACAGGTGATGTAAGAATTTCTGTTTCTAAACAATTAACTAATCATAGTCCACCAACTCCCAGGCATAGTCCAGTTCCTATAGAACACGTAGAATACAAGAACCACGATTCTTTTAAAAAACAGAGCCGCCTTGATCCTAGCTCTGCTATTCTCATGCGAAAAGCAAAGCGGGAGAAAATGGAGACCATGCTAAGGAATGATTCCCTTAGTTCTGACCAGTCGGAATCAGTGCGGCCATCCCCTCCAAAGCCTCATAGAGCAAAAAGAGGCGGAAAGAAAAGGCAGATGTCAGTTAGTAGCTCAGAGGAAGAAGGGGCATCAACACCAGAATATACTAGCTGTGAAGATGTGGAGATAGAAAGTGAAAGTGTCAGTGAAAAAGGTAAGGACCTTTATGTATATTATGCACATGGCCATGGTTTGGGGAAAAAAAAAAAAAATCTGTATTTTTCTCTCTCTTTTGCCTCTTTTTTAAACATACACCTTTGTTTTTCCCCTTACCGTTTTTTTTTCAACTGAGAAGTGTCTTATACCTGTTTATATTTGGTTTGCAATGTTTCCTTTTGCATTCTTAGATGAGGTGGTTACAGGTAGCGTCAGCTGATGAGTTTCTTTCTCATTCTCTTCCCTCTTTCACCTAGAACTGACAGAATTTAAGGGTTCTAGTTTATTCTCTCGATGGTATCTACTCCTTTGGTCATCGCTTCATCCTTTTGTCTGTATGCAGAATAATTTTCTGTGAATGAATTGAAATGGAAAGTGAGTTCTCTAACAATCTGAGAAGACCATTATAAAGCATCATAATCTTACTGACACCTCAGTCTTAAGATACGCAAAATTTTACTACATTTAAAATATCAAGGATCTGCCAGAGTTCATTGTTAACAAGGACAGGATATGGGGCAAGGGGAGTGTTACATAGGAACGAAATGAGAATTGCCTAACTTCTTGTCTAGATGAATTTGCTTCCAAGCTTACAAGTATGTTTAAAATCTGTTATTTCATTTTGCCTTCGTCTGTTAATGGTAGCACTCAGCAGTAAGGAATAAGCGTAGTAGACTGTGTGCTTTTAAACAAAGCCTTTCTTCTGGTGGAAGAAGTTAATAAAATTCATGAATGGTGAGCAGATAAAATAAGCATCATCAGAAAAGGCTGTGGTAGAACCTACCAACTGTTTTATAATCCTAATTTGTCTTTGACACTACAGTGAGCTGAAGGCTTTTTGTGTCTTTGGAAGTAGCTTTTAGCTCTTTAGTTTAATTGTCTGTGTTTGTAACTTGAAAGTTTTCTGCCGGTGTTCATACTCAAAATGCCAACGGCTTGTCTGCATTGCCTTTTAGTTCCTGGCACTGTTTCCTGACATGTCTTTGATTCATATATGCTAACCTGTCTGTCTGTCTTTATGTGATGTTGTGATCTCCTGACATCCCCTAAAGCTCCAGGAATACCTATAAAAAGAGACAATATTTCTCTCCTATCCCATCTGAATAGCTGCTTGTTTGAACTTTCTAAGCATGAACTCTTCCATTCAAAGTATGAAAGCTTGCTTTTCTGCTCATTTTTAAGGAGGGATGATGATCGTGCCCCTGAAATCTTAATCCAGATTCCTCTTAGATATAAAAAACCCTCACTTTTTTGACTGTGGGGGTTGTCAAACACTGGAACATATCGCACAGAGATGTTGTACAGTCTCCATCCTTGGAGAGGCTGAAAACCCAAATGGAGAAGGCCCTGAGCAATCTGCTTTAGTTGACCCTGCTTTTGAGCAAGGGGGTTTGAACTAGGGACCTACAGAGGTCCCTTCCAGTCTCAACTATTCTGCGATTCTGTTATCCTGCTGCTTTTATATATATATTTTTGCAGCAATGTTTTATGTTGACATTTGGATTTGTGTAATTTTCCCTGACTTCCTCTGTTGGTAGTAGTGGTCTGTAATACAGCATTTCCTTTCCATCTTTGTTATTTGCTTTGATTTATGTGCATCAATTTTGAGGTTGCTTATGAAATAGAAAGGATTTCCCATATTCAGTGAGGGGTATCATTATAAACTGCAAGGTCACTGATGTGAAAGTCAAGTCCAGGCTCAAAGTCATTGATACTGATATCAATATGTTGATATAGTTTGCTCTATAATGGTCCTCTGTAAGTAAAACCTTTTGATGGTTGCTTTCAGGCTCATGACACCGATCTCAGCTTTTGACCAATTTCCCGTTGTATTGTTAAACCATTAAGGGTTGAACTTTTTTCATAGAATCATAGAATCATAAAGGTTGGAAAAGACCTCTAAGATCATCGAGTCCAACTGTCAACCCAACACCACCATGCCCACTAAACCATGTCCCTAAGCGCCGCATCTACACGTCTTTTAAATACTTCCAGGGATGGTGACTCAATCACTTCCCTGGGCAGCCTGTTCCAATGTTTAACCACTCTTTCAGTAAAGAAATTTTTTCCTTCAGTGTTATGAATCCCAGAGGATTTCAAATGTCACTAAATACTTATGTTCTCAATAATTGAATCAAGTTCTTGGTTACCTCCAAGACGGATATTTAGACTCCCCCTTTAGACAGTGGAGGCCTTGGTCTGTATCATATCACAGTGCTACCTCACTGTATTTGAATAAAAATTATAAATAGGAGTATGTTAGGGACCTGTCTGACCACTGCCGACTCAATACTTGGTTAACACTGTTGAGCATTCCTTGAGACCTCATCTCTACTTGTCAGTAAGCTAGCACCGTGTTATTAACCAGAATATATACACACACACATATATATGTGTATATATATGTGTGTGTGTGGGTATGCAATACATTAATTACAGAAATATATTCATTAATTTAATAACTGTGAGATGCTTCTGTTAATGTTTTTATTGCCTGATCTTGATATGACTTCTACAATCCTTGTCATGGGAAAAGAAGTAGAAAGCCTTTGAAGCTGGGGGTATAGTACAGAAAAAGAGCTAGGAAATGTGAATACAAATGAGAAAGCAGAAGCATTTTTGGTAGTAAAGTATCCAATTATTTTTAGAATTAATTTTTCATCCGTATTTGAAAAAATCTGCAGTATTTCATAAGAATAGATGGAAAGGCAGGAAATGTTATTACCTAAGAAAATCTTTTAGAAATCCTTCAATATTTTAAAAGAAAAAATGTCACAGTGAAAGGGTGTAGTGTTAAAAAATTGATACAAATAATTAAAAAAAGCCTATTGTAACCGAGGTCAGAATCCCATTCTTTGCAATTTAGCAGCATCGTTACTAACAGAATTTCACCCACCATTCCTTCAGTGCTTTGCCTGTAATTTGGGAGAGATACTGCACAGGTCCCTAGTTGTAGCGCTTTAGTTTATAAGCCCAGGAGGGACTGGAATCCATCCTCTCTTATCTAAATATCAGCTCAGTCAGAAGTCTGGTGCCAAAGTAATTGTAATGGAGCTAGAAAGATAGAATTATTGCAAATAAATGTTCAAACTTTGAACAGCCTTACCAAGAAAACCCAAGATCTTAAAATTAATGTTCACATTTGGTGAGTGCCAATATAAAGCGATCAGCAACTGAGTAATAAAGATGTACTATTTTCAGTTCTATATTGAACAAGTAAAATAGAAGTTTTCTGTGGAAAACAGCTTACAGAGATGTTTAAAAGAAAATGATGCCCCAAAGAAATGTAAGGTATAGGTAGAGTGGATAAGCCTGTATTGAAAATCAATAGCCAAAAGTGACATGTAAAGTAGATATTGTACAAAAGTTGCTTTTTAACATTTGCATTTCCTAGAAACACTGTTTAGGATTGCATTACCCTGTTTTCTGAGCACAAAAAACCTTCTAAAAGTGATATTCTTAAATACAAATCAAGCTAATTTAGCTAGTACATCCCCTGCTATTTACTGTAACCATTTAATATGTATTTCTTCAAAATTATTAACAAAATAATTCACAAGCACTGGAGATTCTTTCTTTCCAAAAAATAGTCTTTTGCAATCCACTGGGATTTTGCCTCCTTGGTGGAGGACCCAAAGATTTATGTTGAATTGTTCCCATGTTGGAGTAAATCTAGAGAAAGTACTGTTTAGCGGTGTCCAAAAAGGTCATCCCAGATTTCTTTTAAAAAAAAATCTGCACCCTTTACAGGACACTATTACTGGTTGCTGGTAATCGTTTTCATCCTATTATTAATACAGGCTGTAGGACTCTTTATTCTGAAATCTGTAATAGTTGAACGTTAGGTGGACTGAGTTTCCAGTGACAGCACTATCGTGGCAACGCAAAAGGAGTCCTCTTAGAAGGCATAAGTTGCATTCATACTCACTTCAAAGACTTGCTAGAATAACGTATGCCAGACTATTACAAATGAAATCCAGACCTCATTTTAAAACTGAGAACAGCTTCTGCCTACTGCCATCCAATGAAGAATGCAAATTAGATTTGGAGTAAGTTTGAGAAAAAATATTTTCTTTAAAGTTTAAAACAAGAATTTGTGTAGAACTAGTAGATTTGTGTCCAGACGAGGTTGTACGTAACTTCTTTTATCCCATGATAGATACAAGAGATATTCTAGACTTCTGTCATGCAGTCTTTGAAACTGGAAGATGAAATAGTGTTGGAAATTGGAACAATGTGAGGAGGTACTGAAAGCTGCTCATGTACTTTCATGTAAATAGATGTGCTAATGGTTTTACATTTTGCATACTCATTGTTTGTATTTGCCTAAATGTGTATTTTGTTCATACCGTTTAGGCTTGAAAATATGCCTAATATTCGCATATTGTCAACAAAATGGTAAAAAGCTAAGTAAAACTCACTTTGTATACTTGCTAATGGATTTAATTGGGAGTAAGGAGAGCATGATGGAGTCGGAGTCTTGTTTGGAAAAAACCTCCTGAGATGACATTCCAGTTACTTTCGGTGAAGATGTGATTGTTTTCATTCGTAATGCCTTTCTTATGGTACCGGGAGGAACAGAGCGACCCCATTTCATTTCATTCGTATGGCATTACCCTTCTGGCTAGAAAGTGTTAGGGGCAGGGATCTTGCTGGGATCTTGGTGTATGCACAGGTGTGAGGGAGGGGGGTCATGACCAGGAGAAGAGGACCTGGAGGTCAGAAGGAGAAAGGGATGCTGTGGTTTGCAGATGAATGTTACGGTGCTGGCTTGGCTCCAGGAGGAGAGGATCTGAACACTTCCTCTGTCCTCCTCTGGTGTTTCCAGAGCCGCTTTGGGCGCTCATGCTTGGAGGTGCTCCCAGAGGAAGGAGAGCATAAATTAAATTCCTGCCCCAGTGATTTCTTCCAAGTGCTGTAGCATTGTTGGCAAGCAAGGTAGCTTGTGGGCTAAGAGAGAAATCAGACGCACGCGGCAGGGTGTATAAATGGACCGAA